ATAATTATAATACTGTATCAAGACAGAAATTCATCTAGAGGAAATAAAATTCTAAGAGACCTTCCGAAAAGTTTGTGTAAAATGTTGTGTAAAATGGTTATTTGATTATCAGGAGATGACTTCTTCTTCAAGGTCTTTATTATTACATGGTAACCAATCTCTTGCACGCGATGGCAAAATGTACATATATACCACTATCCAGTATAAAACACCAAAAAAAGTTCCTGATAATAATTCCGAAAAATTGTGAAAATATACAGATGTCATAAGTAACATATACCACCAAAGTAACATCAGAAAGTATGTCAGAGAGTATGTATATATATTATATTGTTTTGCCCTTTTCACATTTTCTGAGAAAAGTTCCTCCCAAAGAAAAAGTGAAGAATGAATTAATAATAAGCAATGACCGCTAATATCGTGTCCACCTGACCAATTTGCACCAATTTCTTTTTCACATTCATGAAAATTGTATGATTCTATTTCCGAACCTTCCAAAGTGCACTTTCCACCGGTTAAGAGATAGATTTGATCAAGAAACCAATGATGAGTAACAATATACCAATATAAAGTTGCAGCGGTCCAACGAAAGAACGGCTTTGTAATTTGAACGAGATTGTTACGGTAAATTACATTCCAAAAATATATGAAAAATATCGTCGAAGTCCAAAACCAACCAAATTTAACAAACCACTGATTTAAAAAGTTGCTTTTTTGCGAGAAATAGGATTCGTGAAAAGGATTTATTATCCTAGATAAAGACCCTGAAGTAACAGTCCCAACGTAAAATATCAAAAGTAACAGTTGCCTAAATATTCGATCAGTATCCGTTTTGGTGGCTTTATGCTGGATTTCTTTCTTCGAATTTGCTGAAGACGACTTTTCTAGTTTTTCTGCCATTATTAGAGAACAAAAGATGAATGAAAAAAAATTTTATTAAAAAATTACACGTGCAAGATGACATACCTTGTCAATCATTTCGCAATTCATAACCGAATTGGGTTAAATATTACAGTTATTGCGGTCATTATCACATGTTCTCAAGATGTAATTGGCGGAGCGTCTACGGGCACGTACCAGTGGGGTGTTGCACATAGGGCTGTTAACAAAGCAGTGTAAAAAAATTCAAAGTCGAAATTAGGTGCGCTTTGCGCACCTAATTTCCACTTTATGTGCGTTTGCACTTCTATTCATTGTATTCCAAAAATTATGAGTTTAGTGCACATTAATTTGAAAGAATATAACTAATTTTAACTATTGGTTAATTTTTTTTTTTTTTTTTTTTTACT